GATTATGTCGAGGTAGTTTTCTTATATTCCTAGTTTGTTGAGTGTTTTTAAATTTAAAAAGATGTTGAGGGGCGCCTGGGTGGCGCAGTCGGTTAAGCGTCGACTTCAGCCAGGTCACGATTTCGCGGTCCGTGAGTTCGAGCCCCGCGTCAGGCTCTGGGCTGATGGCTCAGAGCCTGGAGCCTGTTTCCGATTCTGTGTCTCCCTCTCTCTCTGCCCTTCCCCCGTTCATGCTCTGTCTCTCTCTGTCCCAAAAATAAATAAAAACGTTGAAAAAAAATTAAAAAAAAAAAAAAGATGTTGAATCTTGTGATATCCATTTTCAGCATAGAGATTATCATGCGGTATTTTTTCTTTATTCTTCAAAAATGGGTTTTACATTGATAGCTATTCAAATGTTAAATGTTCCTCACATTCCAGATATAAATACCACTCACTCATGGTGTAGAATCTTTTTAATATGCTATTCCATTCAGTTTGCTAGTATTTGGTTGAGGATTTTTATATCAATATTCATTAGGAATATTGCTCTATAGTTTTCTTGTTGAGTTTTTGTATCAGGGTAATCATAGGATGATTTCACAGAATGAGTTTAGGAGTGTTCCTTCTCCTTTAATTCTTTGGAAGAATTTGAGGAGGATTGGTATTAATTCTTTGTTTAATGTTTAATGTAGAATTTACCAGTAAAACCATCAGGTCCTGGGCTTTTCTTTTTGGGAGGTGTTTTTACTATTTTTACCATTATTTCAATCTCCTTAGTAGTTATTATTTTATTTCTTCATGAGTGAGTCTTGAAAGATTGTATGTTTCTAGGAGTTTATCCTTTTTTTCTTGCTTATCCAATTTATTGGATTACTATTTTTAATAGTATTCTCTTACATTTTTTTAAATTCTGTGACGTCACTTACAATGTCTTTTATTTCTTTTTGTTAAGTTTATTTATTTATTTTGAGAGAGAGAGTGTGCACGCACATGTGCTGGCGTGTGTGCATGAGTTGGGGAGGGGCAGGGAGAGAGAGAGAGAGAAGATCCCAAGCAGGCTCTGCTCTGTCAGCCCAGAGCCCAAGGTGGGGGTCAATCCTACAAACTGTGAGATCATGACCTGAGTGAAAATGAGGAGTTGGACACTCAACCCACTGAGCCACCCAGGTGCCCCCTCTTTTATTTCTTATTTTAAGCATTTGAGTACTATCTCTTAGTTAATCTAGCTAAGAATATGCCAATTTTGTTGATCTTTTAAAAGAACCAACTATTTGTTTTATTGAATTTTTTCTATTGTTTTTCTGTTCTTTCTCTGCTTTAATCTGTATTATTCATTTCCTTCTTTTTGCTGGGGTTCATTTTTTCTAATTTCTTGAGCGGTGAAATTACGCTGTTAATATGACATCTGTTTTTCTTTTTCTTTTTTTCTTTTTCTTTTTTTAAAGTTTATTTTTATTTTTGAGACAGAAAGAGACAAAGCATGAACGGGGGAGGGGCAGAGAGAGAGGGAGACACAGAATCGGAAGCAGGCTCCAGGCTCTGAGCCATCAGCCCAGAGCCGGACACGGGGCTCGAACTCACGGACCGCGAGATCTTGACCTGAGCTGAAGTCGGAGGCTTAACCGACTGAGCCACCCAGGCGCCCTTGTTTTTCTTTTTAAATGTATGTGTATACAGCTGTAAGCATGCCTCTTAGCATATCTTTTACTGGATCCTGTAAGTTTGGATATGTTGTGTTTTCATTTTCTTTTTATCTCCATGTATTTTCTCATATCTTTTGTGACTTCTCACTTGGACTTAGTGGTGTCTGAGTCTGTTGTTGAAGTTTCACAGATCTGTGGACTTTCAAGTTTTCTTTCACTTGTTATTCTCTTGCTTCAATCCATAGGGATCAGAAAAGAGACTTTGTATAATTTCAATATTTTTAAAGTTACTTGTTTTGTAGTATGACAAGTAGTCTATCCCCCAGAATATTCTATGTTCACTTGAGAAAGATGTGTATTCCACTCTTGTTAAGTGGGATGTTCTGTATATCTTTATTAGGTCCAGCTGGTCTATACTGTTGTCAAGTCCTTTATTTAATTATCTTTTGTCTAAGTTTTCTATCCATTATTAAAAGTGAGGTACTATAGTCTTTTGATATTATGTTTCTGTTTATCCCTTCAATTCTTTCAAAACTTGCTTCATATATTTAGGAGCTCTGATGTTTGGTGCATAAGTATAATTATTATATATTCTTGGTTAATTGACCCTTTTATTATTCCCTTTTAATAGTTTTTGATTTAAAGTCTATTTTGTTTGATATGAGTATGGCCACCCCTGTTGTCATTTGGTTATAATTTGCAAGGAATATCTTTCTTCCTTTTTAACCTTTTAGCTTATGTAAGTCTTATATCTGAAGTAATATAGTTGGAATCTGTTTTTGAATCTTTCAACCTATCTGTATATTTTTATTAGGGAGTTTAATTTATTCAAATTTAAATTAATTTCTTATATGAAAAGCTTACTATTGCCATTTTGCTAATTTTATTCTTTATACCCTGTAACATTTTGTCCCTTCCTCTCTCTTAATGCTTTTGTCCACTGATTTTTTTTTTTTTTATTGTGACATGCTCTGGTTCCCTTCTGTTTTCATTTTGTGTATATTGTGTACATATTTTATTTTTAATCACCATTTTAATTACTTAAAATATATTAACATTAATAGTATTTTAAATTGATAACATCTTAACTTCAATTGCATACAAAAACATTACTCCTTTACAGCTCTATTTCTCATTTTATGTTATTACATAGATTATAGGCTTTGTTTGTTTGTTTGTTTTTTTTTGTATTTGTCCTTCCATTTCTATACAATAATTAAAAGTGAACTTACCCACCAAAATTACAATAATATATGTTACTATATTTGTCCATGTATTTATCTTTATTAGAGAACTTTATAATTTTCTTTTGGCTTTATGTTGCTAACCAGCATCTTTTAGTTTCAACATGACAGCCTCCCTTTAGCATTTCTTATAGATCAAGTCTAGTGGTAATTAACTTTTGTTCATTACCTCAGCTCTTATTTTTCTGGAAAAGTCTTAATGTCTTCATTATATTTTAAACTATGGTTTTCCTGGATACAATAATTTTGGTTGACAGTTTCTTTCTTTCAGCAGTTTGAATGTATTCATTCTAATCCCTTATGGCCTGTAAAATTTCTGCTGAGAAGTCTACTGGTAATCTTATGGGAGTTCCCTTATATGTGACAAGTTATTTTTGTCTTGCTTCTTTCAAGATTCTCTCCTCACCTTTACCTTATGGCAGTTTGATTATAATGGGAAATTTGTGGGTCTCTTTGGATTATCCTAGTTGGAGTTTGTTGAGCAGTTCACTCAGATTTCTGAAGATTATGGTCATTATTTCTCCAGATAAACTCTCTGTCCCTTTCTTTCTTTTTTCTCCTCTGAGATCCCCATAATGCATACATTGATCTGTTTGTTCATGTCAATAGGTTCTATCTTCTTCATTCTTTTTTTCTTTTTACTTCTCTAGCTGGATGATTTCAAATGATCAGTCTTCAGATCTGATTCTTTCTTCTGCCTGATCAAATCTAATTTTGAATACCTCCAGTGGATTTTTAAGCTCATTTATTGCATTTTTCCGCTCTAGAATTTCTTTTTAGAATAGTTTAAATTTCCTTGTTGACACCTACACTCAGAATTTATTCAGGTATGTAAGGCTAGTTAATCATTTAATTTAACCAATTCCATCCTTAGACTAAACTAGAAAACTTCTTTGATCATGTCAATAGATGCAGAAAAAGAATTTGACAAATCCCAACACCATTTGTGACAAAATTTTAGAAAACCAAGTCTAGAAGGGAACTTCCTTAACTTGAGACATCTAGAAAAGACCTACAGCTAACACCTTAATTGTGAGAAACTAAATGCTTTCCCAGTGAGATCAGGAACAAGGCAAGAATGTAACCTCCCAGTCCTTTTCAGCTTTGTACTGGAAGTCAAAAACACGGTTACACCAAACACATAAGGATGTGGAGCAACAGAAACTCTCATTCATGATCATAGGAATGCAAACTGGTACAGCCACTGTGGAAGACAGTTTGGCAATTTCTTACTCTTACCATATGATCCAGCAACTGTCCTCTTTGGCAGTTACCCAAATGAGTATAAAACTTCTTATATCCACACAAGATCATGTACATGAATATTTATGGCAACTTTATTCACAATTGGCAAAAATTAGAAGGAACCAAGATATCCTTTAATAAGTGAATGGATAAAAAAACTGGAATAAATACATATAAAGGAATATTATTCAGTTATTTAAAAAGGGAGCCACAAGGCATTTGAAGACATAAAGGAATCTTAAATGGATACTGGTTAATGAAAGAAGCCATTTGGAGAAAAGGCTAAGTGCTGTTATATCCTGTATTATATTAATATTATATTATATTATATTATATTATTATTATTCTGTGACATTCTATAAAAGGCAAAACTATAGAGATCATGTAAAAATCATTGATTGCCAAGAATTTCCATGCTGCTGACATCACTACTTCTCAAGTTTTAGTTTTTAAGACAAAAAAAATGCTGCTTGCACATTCTGCCTTTAGAAGAAAGTTAATTTGATTTCTTCCCTAAAACTGTTTCTGAAGTCAAAACTAATGGCCAAGGCAACCTTTAAGAATCTGTGTACTTTTTTCTAATTGTTCACATGAAAAGTAATATAGTTACAGAAGCAATGCTTATTTTCCATTAAAAAATTTCAGATTTAAATCAGTAGCATGTCATTAAAACATGAAATTGCATTAATCTTATTATTTGTCAATGCCATTTGGACTAAAATTACTATTCCTCAAAGATAATAACAAAATTTGCCTATTTTTTCCATATTCTTAAGAAAATAATGAACTTTGTTATACTAGTTTAACTTATATACATTATATTTACTTGAAAAGATAAAATAGATAAACAAGTTAGGCAACAATTGTGATTTTTTTTTCTATTTAGTATCCAAAGATGATAACTTTAGAGGCATTTTCAGTTGTTATGACACAGTTGCTTGGAGTTAATCTGGGATTAACATATAATAAAGACATCCTCACTTGTTACTGTCCAGGAACTACATGCATAATGAACCCTAAGGCAATGTAAGGTTTTATTTTTTTCAAATCTATATCTTCCCTTGGGAAATGTTTGTAATATTCTTTAATGTACAATCTCTTTCAATATGACCTGATTATGAACATTTCTTATTAAGTAAATATGTGCTAATTTAATGCTTAAAGGAAGTGGCCGTTTGATATTATAGAAATTGTGCTTAATCGTTCTAGTATAGAGAGAAAGTGGATGTTGATGATGACTTTCTGGGGCTTACTAGAATCTTAGAGTTAAATTTATTCATTCACCAAAAAAAATTTTAATGAACATCTACTGTGTCCCGGTTATTGTGTTAGTTTGATTTACAAATAGTTAATAAGATAGATAAGTCCAAAATACATTTGTCCATCAGGGATAGAAAATTAAAAAGTAGACATAAAAAAAAAACAAAATCTAAACAGTTTATGATGGGTTCCAAGAAGAAAATGAATAGGGAAAGTATGGGGAGAAGAAACATTCTGATAAAGTAGTCTAGGAATAATTATGGAAATAATTTTGTTGGGATCTGAAAGAGAATGAATCTGGTTATTAAAGATCTCATTGAAAAAGTTTCAGTGAAAGCAAGTGAACTAATACTTGGGTGGCGACAAGATTGTAAAGCTTGACAGACTGAAGTTAAGGAGGTTGGGGGGAGGATAAAAGTGAAAAAAATATAGCTGGGACTATAAGGGAGAATGTTTTAGACGTAAGGAAAAAGAAGTAACATGCAATGAGGATAAATAATGAGTCATGGAAAGAAGTCCAGGATGTGATACAGAAAAGAGCCTGATCATGCAATCATGATGTGGAAATTAGGATCTTATAATAAATGTAATGAAATATATTTTTAATTGGTTCATGCAGTATGGGTAATAAAAATTATCTTATAAAATGAATATGAAATATATCAGAGGGAGCAAGAATATAGTGATATTTGGAAATGATGATTCTCATAATAATCTATAGCAGTTTCTTAAAATTGAGAGAAAAGGAGATGCCAAGAATTTTTTTCAGGGGTTCTGGTCCAAGATGGCAACATAAGAATAATCTGAACTCATGTCCTCCTACAGACACAACAAATCTATAACTACATATGGATCATTTTCCTTTAAAAATATAAAAACTAAGTAAGAACTCCTACATATTGGGCAAATGAGAAAAAAAAAAACCCATATCAGAGTGGTAGGGGAGGCTAAGGCACAATCTTATATCTTTCTATAATTCCTACCCCTCACATGCCAACCCCAAATCAGGAGAAAACTGAAACCAGTAGTTTTCCCCTGAGGAATAAAGGGTTTGAACCGTCCTTGGATACCACAACTTTTAAGATAGCAGGTGCTAATTTGGCTGTCTTCATCTGTTGTACTCTGGAGTAACAATCTCTTCCATAGAGAAATTTGTAGAGGTGCCTGACATATCACCTAGCTCTGGTGTCCAGGAAGGTTTGCATTCCTGGGTCTCATGGAACTATAACAAATTAAGAGATGGTTCTTGGCCAGCTACTACTTTTGTGGCAATACATAGACAATAGACTGAAACATAACACCAAACTTTCTGTGAAATGGCCTATTTGCTTGTCCTGGAGCTTCTGCCTGAGGGGTAGGCTTCTGGTTTGGGACACCTTTAGAGTCCTACTAAGGTGCACTCTGGAAATGGAGTCTAGTATGTGCCATTTTGTGCTCTTTCTCTGACTCACAAAAGATCTCTGGGATCTCAGGAAAGGAACTTTTTAAAAAATTTGTTTTAATGTTTATTTATTTTTGTGAGAGACGGAGAGAGAGACACACACAGAGTGAGACAGAGCGTGAGTGGGGGGTGGGCAGAGAGTGAGGAAGACAGAATCTGAAGCAGGCTCCAGGCTCCGAGCTGTCAGCACAGATGTGGGGCTCGAACCCACTGATGTGGATCTTGAACCCATGAACTGTGAGATCATGACTTGAGCTGAAGTTGGATGCTTAACCAACTGAGCCACCCAGGCACCTCAAAAGGGACTTTTATAATCATCTGGTACCCCAAGTTTTGAGAATGTTGCACAGTATACATCTCTGCATCTCCTTGCTCTGTTGGCCAGCAAGGTATATGTTTGTAGCCCCATAGCACTGTGTGTATTTTTATACTTTAAAAGCTGTTGCTTGAGGGTCTGGCTTCCAATCACCCTGAACCTAGGTGCTTATTGAGCTCCTCCCCTTTGGGACAGTTAAAGGTCTTGGTACATCTTTAACCACTTGAAGCCAAAAACTAAAATGGGCTGCTTGGACAATCACAAGAGTTTGAGAGACAACCAAGAGTTAGGAGAAGCCTGAATAGCAAGGCTCATCTCCTACATGAGGCCACCCCTTTGAGACTGGAAGAGAAGGCTGTTTTATCTAATGCATAGCAGTGGACAGAGAATAAAACAAAATCAAGAAACAGAGGAATTTGTTCCAAACAAAAGAAGGCAAAACATCAGAAAAAGACTTAATAATACAGCGATAAGTAATCTACCTAATAAATTTTGTTTGAAGTAATGGTCATAAAGATGCTCACCAAGCTTGGGAGAAGAATGAATGAACAAGGTGAGAACATCAACAGACATATAAAATAGAAGAAAGTACCAAATAGAAGTCACAGAATTTAAGATTATAAAACAGAACTGAAGAATACAATAACAGAACTGAAAATTCAGTAGAGGGATTTAACAAGCAGACTAGATGAAGCACAAGAAAAGATCAATGAACTCACGAACAGAGTAGTAGAACTCATAGCCAGATCAACAAAAAGAAATAATTTTTGAAATGTGAAGTTAAATAAGGGGCTTACTAAACAAATCCAGCAGACCAATATTCACATTATAGGGGTCCCAGAAGGAGAGGAAAGAGTCAAAGGGACAGAAAACCAGTTAATGTTTGTCACCATTAGGAGTAACAAGTCTTTTTTTTTTTCTTATAATAAGAACTTTTAATATATAATCTCTTAGCAACTTTCAAATATTCAATACAGTGCCCCTTCGCCACTCTTGGTGTGCACCCTTGGTCAGTACGAGAGCTGCCACCCAAGCAGCCCCCCATCCTGCCAGACCTAGTGGGTGTCATAAGCCACCACCAGAGCCCCTCCCAAGGGCCCCACACTGGCAAGCCAGCCACTTTACCAGCATGCCTCTAAGAGTCATGGCCAGGGCTCCCAGATGGGCCAAGGGCCAGCCCTAAACACCAATGTGTCTGTAGCTGAACCTCACTCATATACATGTGCACTGAGGGACAGCCCCACTCACCAGAAAGTCTGGTGACCACCTGTCATTGACTAGCCAGAACAGGAACATGCACACAGCCCATAGAGAGTCCTGGAGCACTTGGTTTGGCAGTCCAGGTGGGTCTGCACTACTGAGCCCCACAGTACCTGCATAAAGGACTATCTGCATAAAGCCACTCCTTCAAGACCAGGAGACATAACTGCTTAGTACATAGAAATAAACAGAAGGAGGCAAAATGAGGCACTAGAGGTTGCAAATGAAAGAAGACGACAATATCTGAGAAAAGTGAAATGGATAGTCAGTCCACTAGGCAAAGTTCAAAGGAATGGTTATAAAGATGGTCACCAAACTGGAAGAGGAATGGAGCATCACAGTGAGAACTTCAACAAATACATAGAAAATATAAAAAAGAATCAATCAAGCTGAAGAATACAATAACTGAAATAAAAAACATACTAGAGGAAATCAACAGCAGATTAGATGTTGCACAAGAATGGATAAGCAATCTGGAAGATTGGATAATGGAAAGCACCTGATCAGAGAAGCAGAAAGAAAAAAATAATTTTAAAAATTGAAGTTATTTTAAGGAATCTCTAGGGTAACATCACCCATACTAGCACTTATAGGTACCCTCAGAAGTAGAAGAGGGGCACCTGGGTGGCTCAGGTCATGATCTCATGGCTTGTGAGTTCTAGCCCCGCATTAGTTTCTGTTCTGACAGCTCAGAGCCTGGAGCCCACTTGGGATTCTGTGTCTCCCTCTCTCTCTCTGCCCCTCCCCCACTCATGCTCTGCCTCTCTCTCTCCCTCCGAAGTAGAAGAGAAGAAAAGGATCAGAAAATACATCTGAAGAAATAATGTCTGAAAATTTAACCTAATCTGGTGAAGGAGATAGATATCCAAGTCCAGGAAACAAGAGTCTTAAATAATATGGACCCAAAGAGAGCAATACCCATTATAATCATAGTGACAACATATAAAGATAAACAGAGAATCTTAAAAACAGCAAGAGAAAAACAGTTATGTATAAGGAAACCTTCCTATGATTATTAGGGGTTTTTTTGGAAAAAACTTTGTAGTTCAAAAGGGAGTGGCGTGATATATTCACAGTAATGAAAGGAATATTTATAATAAAAAATACGGTACCTATCAAGATTATCACTTGAGTTAAAGGAGAGATGAGGAGTTCCTCAGACAAGCAAAACTAAAGGAGTTCATCAACACCAAACAGATATCACAAGAAATGTTAAAGGATTCTTTCAGTGGAAAAAGAAGAGGCCTTAACTAGAAATGAAACTGTGAATGAAAGCAGTGTCACTCAAGGTAAACATATAGTAAAGGCAGCAAGTCAACCACCCATGTATTTGGTATGAGTGTTAAAAGACAAATATAGACAGTCATCTAGACCTATAATAATTAGTCAAGTTATATACAAAATAAAATGTAAAATATATCAAAAACAAAATGCAGGGGGAGCAAAAATGTAGTATTTTTGGAACACACTTGAACTTCAGCCCTCAGCCATCAACTTAAAATAGACTGCAGTATACATAGGATGTTACATATGAATCTCAAAAGATTCACAAAAAATACCACAAAAAAATACCAATAATAGATACACAAAAAATAAAGAGAAAGGAACACAAACACAACACTAAGTCACCAAATACCAACAGAAGACAGAAGGAAACAGAACTACAAAAACAATAAGAAACAATCAATATAATGGCAGTAAGTACATATCTATCAATAAAATATCTAAATGGACTAAATTCTCCAGTCA